GGAATTTTCCTCCAATGGGATTTTCCCATGTATTTTACCAGGAAAAAAAAATAGGGCAGGCTAGAAAAGTCAGTGCCCTCCTAACCATACCCAAGCACTCCGAGTTTGTTGGCGATGTCCATTTTGCTCTCTGAGTTCATGGTGACCTAACCCTAACCCTAAGTGGAATTTTCCTCCAATGGGATTTTCCCATGTATTTGACCAGGAAACATAGATAGGGCAGGCTGGAAAAGTCGGTGCCCTCCTAACCATACCCAAGCACTCCGAGTTTGTTGGGAGATTTTGGCAGCCCAGATCTGGTTGCCGTAAGCAACTGTGTCTCCCCTTCAACACACTGAAGCCCTAAAAGAATCTCAGTTGATGTTGGGGGCTGGGGGGAAAAAACAGTCCTGGGGCAGTGGGGGGGGGGCTTTGAGAGGGGGCAGGATCATTGACTTCCAGAGACAGGAGTTTTTCCCAAATGCCTCCTTGTTTAAATAAACTCCACGTGCTTCTTATTAATTAATTCGCTTTTATTCTAATGCATGGTGCTAAACAGATGGCTGGTTCTCTAAAAATATGATATTTCTCAGCGTATTTTAAAAAAAAAAAAAAACAACAAATGTCGCTGTTGGCCGTTTATTATTTTGTAAGACACCCCGTTACTAATTTTTCGTAGTACTAATTTACATCTGCCCACCGTTGGATGAGTTGGTGGAACAGTGGACGAGAAGTACGGTGATCACTATCCAAGTTAACCACGGCCAAAAACGCACCGATTTTGGATCCTTTCACCTGCAGCTTCTAAAAGATTCTGGGACCTTCCGTCCTTCCGAGGTCAGTAAAGCCAGGAGCCAGATTGTTTGGAGACAATATGCTGACGTTGTGAACCACCCAGAGGGTGCTGTCAAGCAGCGTTTCTCAACATTAGCAAGGTTACGATGGGTGGACTTCTACTCCCAGAATTCCCCAGCCAGCAGAGCTGGCTGAGGAATTCTGGGAGTTGAAGTTCACCCATCTTAAACTTGCCAAGGTTGAGAAACAGTGATGTAAAGCACTAAAGAGTGGTATATAAGTCTAAGTGCTATTGCTGTTGTTAAGTACAAGGTCCTCCCTCCTCCTCCATCACCACCATCCCGCAAACCCCACTCCTTACGAGCACTGATAATGTTACCTACTTGGGTCATGAAATGTCTGCAAGAAAATAGCCAGGCTCAGA